AAATTTAGCGATCTTACTACCATTAGAACCGCACAAACTTCCTCTACAACTTTAATCAGAAGTCAAAGAGAGACTTACTTAGTAAAAAAAGAAGTTTACATAGTACTCTTTGTGAAAATTATTGGCCATTCCACTACTATTAAAATTCTATAAGTGATTCCGTCGATTTTTACTATGAAATTTTTACCTTTCAGCTGCGAACTACCTCTTAAACTAAATAGCGAGCACTTAATCATTTTGCTATAACTGATTCTCAGCTTATATTAAAGCAATTATTTTGTTTACTACTTAAATAAATTTTATTAATTAATTAAGAATAACAGATTTTAACTAACTAATTAATTTTTTTTACTATTATTGCATTTGCTTTGATTATATACATACTTTGGGTCATATTACTTATATTATAATTTGTTTATATGATCATACAATCATTTGACTCTTATATTGCTATATAAATTTATCTCATATTTCATGTATACCTGATAATCTTACTTCAGTATACTACACATAATACTGATGGTTACATAATTGATTGTTACCTAATTTTTAATTTCTGATCCATCACTTACTTATCATATATATCACATACACAAGATAACAATTGATCGCTTGCTTTATCTTTATTCCTATACAAGTTTACTACATACTGTATATTACTATAACACAAGCTAAAGTCTAGAAACTTCATTCTCGAAGTTTCTAGTATAAGTACAGTCTACTTTCCAACAATTTTTGCAAAACTAATTTCTATATTTTCATAATTTTCTACAAGTTCTCTAGCAAAATTCTTTCTCGATTGAATATTTTTCTAATTTAGATTTTAAGTATTTATCTTTCCTTTGCTCTTTTTTTTCTTTAAGCTTATCACATTGCCTTTAAATAATTTATTAATACTTATTTTACCTTTATTATTCCTATAATCATTCTCAATATGCTTTGTAACTTTATCATCAATAATATCATTTTTCGTTTCTATTCCTTTTTCTTTTACTTTGTTATACTCCAACTAATCTACTGTATTTCTCTTGCTTATCATGCATCTATTAATTCTTTTAGTCTCTCTTACTGAATCATATTTACAAGCAGGATATTTATCATGAAATTCATATTCATAGTAGTAATTATATTTTATGTTTTTATCATATATTTCTTCAACATTTACATTTCAATCCTAACGATTTTTGCTCTACTATTGGAAGCTTATTCTCATTATTATTATCTTTTATTCCATATCTCACTGGATTATTATTATTATCTATCACTAGATTATCATTTTTTGATACCAATCTTTCTCACATTTTTATTAAGTCTAACTACAGCATTTTTACTATTGAATTTCTTTAGTATAGTTTTAAGGGTAGGGTATTTGTTTACCATTTGTTTATGCATGATATGAAAATAAACCAATTAAAATTTAATGATCTGCAAAATTAACCAATTATAATTGTATATTTGGTTGTACATGCATATTTATTTGTGCATTGCATGAAAAAAATATGTAAACAAATACCTTACCCTTAATATCGATTATCTCAAAAGGTATATTGAATATTGGATTACTACTTTTAATTATTTTTCTCTGATCAAATACTAATCTATAATTATCTTTCAATTTAGGTTCTCTAACTGATTCTTCACATTCAACACATTCTGAATCTTCCTCAAGTATTTCTTTTTTATCCTTATCAGTAATATTGGTATCTTAATAACAGATAAGTACTTTATTTTCATCTCTTATAATTTTATTTTCTTTATTATCACAATGACCTCCTACTACTAATATTTTTCTTATTAGCAGATTTTTGGTGATATTCTAATACTTGAACTCTATCATTTTTATCTTCTCCACATCAAGGTTTTCAGATAAGTATTTTACTTTCAATTTATTTATATTTATTTTACCTTCTTTATTGACTATTTTTCTATCTACACTAACTGTCTTTTTCTCTATACTTTTTACTTTTTTTGCAGAATCATCACAACCCATGTTGTTTTAGAACTATTCAAATAAACTCATTTCACAACTTGATACATTAGGCTTCAGATCTTCATTAGATATTTTATTTTCATTCTTACTAATATTTTCTTCTTTCTCTATACTATCATTTAAACACTACTATATTAAGTCTATTTT